AGGCTTTCGAGCCTATACAGCTTGGAGTAAGACAACATGCATGAAGAGGATGATGTGGACAAAATACTCATTTGCCTAATAATTCTGCACTCCCTGTAGTTGTTTTTTTCCTGTGTAATAATATTCAACATGATGCTCACTGTGCAGGTGCTAGCAAAGAGTCAAAATTGTATTGTTTTTTTTTCTGAAAATGTTTGCACATTACTGTTGTGCTCTCATCTTTTTGTATGATAAAAATAAAAGTAATGTACATATCCATACTGTAGACTGTGCCGCTATTTTCCTTCTCTGGAGCACAAACTCAAATTAGCTCACTGTAGCAGAAGTACAAGTGGAATCAATAAACGGGATCGAGAGACAAGCAGACTTAACAGTTCCAAGGAACTGGACTTCTGGGAATCTGTTCTTAAGTCCCGTTCCTAGACACTAATAATAATGCACCAACCTACTCGAGAGCTTTCTTAATTTGGTTAGATGTTGTGTTGTCTTCAGTTTTTCATTACCATGGAAATAATTCTGTCAGCACGCAGTTTAGTTGTCTTATGCACACTTTCAAGTCCTTTGATGCTTTTTTTTCTTTTATTTATTAATTTTTTTAAATGTAACAGATTGTTGCTTTATGATTTATTCACATTCAAAACAGTATGTGTTAAAAAAATTTTTAGTAATGTGACTATGTAAACAATTTTCATTGTGTAACCAGAAATACTATAAAACATTATGTTGTATATTATTATAACGTATTAAATTACGCTAGTAGGTAGGTAGGTAGGGTAGGGTAGGTGTAAGACCACAATTTTCCAAATGACCAAAAGAGGGTGCTAGGCATTGTTGGAAAAGAAAGAAGAAAAGAGAAAACAGAAAAATGGATGCAGCAGAATTTGGTGCTTTAGAAAGTTAGCCTGGATTAAACACAAGAATTATATTTTTTTCTTTCTGGTTAAATGTCATTAACAGTGTTATTTTATCATTATGTGTGAAATACAACTAAGATGGGGAATAAGGTACTATGCTGTTTTGTAATGATATAAAATATTGCAGTTGCTGTTACACTTTATGAACACAAGTAGATTAGAAATTTTTTTAAGAAAGCAATCGTTAAAATTACATTTTTGTAATTTTTATTTTTAAGTGTTTCATTGCAACTAAGAGTGTGAGTCTTTATTGCTAAATTTATGCTCTTTCTCTTCTCAGTTTCATTGTGATTTCACTTCCTCACGCAGACAAAAGACTGGTGAAGTGAAGAAAATCAAATTGGTAGCTAGTTGTTGCAGTTGGAGAGGGAACCACTGTAAACACAAATTACTATAAAGAAAAAGTGAAATTGTTGATACTGACAGCCTGAAATACCTCCAAACTGTCGATTTTTTAGTATTAGCTTCTCCCCTTCTAGCAACTGGTAGACTGCTGGTAATCTTTATTGTAGAAAACACAGAAAAACATCAAACTGAATCGATCTGACCCATCAGTTGCCCAACTGTGAGAAATACAGTTGTTTTAAGATTGATATATAATATTGCATCACTAATATGAATGTAGGTGTGTGAATGGGTGAATGTGACTTAAACAAAGCTCTCAGAGCAGCCTGAAAATACAATATAAAGTGAAGTAAATAAAGTAGGCAGCTCAATTATTTTAATTGAATTAATAAATAAGTATGTGTTTTCTAAGAAAGTAATAATAACAACTTTTTTGTCACTTACTGTAGGAAGAAGCCACTATAATTTCATAATTTTTCAGTGCATATTTATTTATAGTGAATCACTTTTTGTATTATAACTACATATTACATACCTACACACCTAAACTGCATTTCCTTCTTTTACAAAAAGTAACCTCCATAAAATTGTATAATTGGACATGTTCCTCCTCTTCCTCAACCTGAGAATGCATCATCTCTCTTCTGTTATTACATCTTAGGTTGCACCAGAAGGTATAAATATCAGTGCAAGTCTTTCATTTACACGAAGGCATTTATAATGGCATTAAGTGGTTTAGCTCTAGACTTGGCATCCTCACACAGATGGCCAGAGCAGGGGTGGGCACTTCTCCAATTATTATTGATGGCTTCTTTTTCTCAAGCTGAGGACCCAGTGTGCACGCAGAGAGGTGATTCTGGGAACCCAGTCCTATCAAAAGATGGGGATTTTATATTAGGGGGGATGTTCTCTTTTCACAGCAGCTGGGAAGACAGAATGGACAACTACACACACAAACCAATGCCACTACAATGTACCAGGTAAATGATAAGAAATGAATTTAATACAGTCATTTAAGAAATTCATCAATTCTTGGCTTTAAACATCCTTTGAAATGTTTTTTCCAAGTTTTAAGGGAAAATGTGATGCAATTCCAATTATTTGTAAATGTCTCAAGTTTAAATTTCAGAGATTTCCAATTTGCACAGGCTATGCTTTTTGCAATTGAGGAGATTAATAACAGTACAGACCTACTGCCAGGAATCTCTGTGGGCTATAAAATCTATGATACTTGTGGGTCTGTGGCCAGAAGTGTAGGTGTCACACTGGCTTTGGCTAATGGAAATGAAATTGTGTCTGTACCCCCGAAGGCACCATGTACCAGACCTGCACATGTGCAGGCGATAATAGGAGAGACCTCTTCTTCTCCATCCATTGCAGTAGCTACTGTTATTGGACCATTTGTTCTGCCAGTGGTGGGTAGGCTTCTTTCTTTATACATTTTATATATATATAAAGATATATATAATGTTTAAAAAATATTTTTATTCTCTTAGATCAGTCACTTTGCCACATGTGCTTGTCTCAGTGACAAAACTAAGTACCCATCCTTCCTCAGAACAATACCCAGTGACTACTACCAGAGCAGAGCCCTGGCACATTTGGTCAAGCATTTTGGATGGACTTGGGTTGGAGCTATTCGAACCAATAATGATTATGGAAATAATGGCATGGCCACCTTCACAGAAACTGCACAGCAGCTGGGCATCTGTCTGGAGTATTCTGTATCTTTTTTTAGGACAGATCCATATGTGAAAATACAAAAGATAATTGAAATTATAAAGGCTTCAACCTCCAGGGTAATTGTTGCATTCCTTTCCCATGTGGATCTGGATGTGCTGCTACATGAGTTTTCATACCATAACTTGTCTGGGTACCAGTGGGTAGGCACTGAGTCGTGGATATTTGATTCACAAACAGCAAAAATGGATATACATCACATACTGAATGGTGCCATAGGTCTTTCCATTCCTAAAGCACATGTCACTGGCCTGAGAGAGTTCATACTGGATGTTAAGCCACTGAATTCATCTAATAATGAACTCTTTATTGAGTTCTGGGAGACACTATTTAGTTGTAAGTTCAAGGAGTTGAAATCATCAGCAGACATTCAGAGAGAGTGTACTGGACATGAAGATCTGAACGGAGTTCAAAACAGCTTCACTGATATGTCTCTCATGCCTATCTTTAATAATGTATATAAAGCAGTGTATGCAGTGGCACATGCACTTCACAATATCCTCAGCTGTAATAAAACATGTAACAAAAATGTGCAGCTAGATCCATTCACGGTGAGCTTTACACCAACTTAAAAGATTAAATCACATTAGCAAGAACATTGTTGTCATAATTAAAAAAATATTTTGTCTTTCATAATCTTTGACCATTAGGTGTCCAAGATATCTCTATTGCAAGTAACTGAGTTTTGGCATGTTATCTTAGGTTTTGCAACACATACGAAAGATTCACATCACAACAAAGGAAAGAGATGAGGTTTACTTTAATGAGAATGGAGATCCAGCAGCAAAGTATGAAATTATAAACTGGCAGCCAAGAGAAAACGGCGTTGTGGAGTTTGTCACAGTTGGTCTTTATGATACATCATTGGCTCCAGAAAAACAGCTAAATTTGCAAAACAAGGCTTTAATTTGGGCAAGAAACACAAAGCAGGTACACATTCATACAACCTTGGGGTTTTTTGTTTTATTTTTTTCAATTTATAAATATGTATTTAATTTGTTTTACAGTATTTTGGTTTTGATCTTTCAAAATTAAGAAATTGTTTGACAGAGAACTTCATTTTTTTCTTAAAGTCCATATGCAGTTTAATTTTCTTGATCATGCAGGTTCCTGTGTCAGTTTGCAGTGAGAAATGTCCCCCAGGAACACGCAAGGTTCTCCAGAAAGGAAGGCCTGTTTGCTGCTATGACTGTATAAGATGTGCAGAGGGACAGATCAGCAATGTTACAGGTGTGGTGACATTTCATTTTAATTTTGGTGCATTACAAAGCAAAGTTAGACATGTAGGACGGTCATACAAGAACTATTTAATAATCGTGATGTTTGTTTTTATGCAGACATAATATGCATTTAGTACGGAGCCCCGCAGGGGACATGGGAGAAAAAAAAATTAAGATGGACTTTTGCGAGATCTCGCAAAACTAACTCGGGATCTCGCAAAACTTTTAGCCGCATTCTTCGGACGCCGGCTCAAAGCCGACCGGGAGGTCGAGGCACGATGTGCCGGGAAAGCGGTGTTCCTCCCGGCTGTAG